GAGCCACGCTGCAACTATATTATGGTTTTAGCGCGAATGGGTCGGCTCGACCGGGGAAGGACCACGCTCTCACAGAGTACTGTCGTAAAATAGGAGCTTAATACTGCTGTGTTTCATATGGTGAGTGTAGAGATCCGGAGAGCCTTTTTTACTGGAAACGAGGCGTTCCATCTTAGTCCTCAGGGGTGACAACGCATCTGCATTTTGATTCTTAATCGAGAATAAATGTAGATGCCTATGGGCCACCACATCCACTTACCATCAGGTGGACTGTGTGCTCGTTTGTCACCCTTATTCTATAAAAAAAACGAAGGCAAAGATTACTGATGATTTTCAGCCATATGTGCACGTCTTATAACAGTTGCTGTTATGCTCTACGTATTTAATTAGATCTAATTCCAATCCTCTGTTGCTTCATAGCCAGTACAATAAACTAACAATGAAGATGTAGAGCCGTTCTCTACAATCGTTAATTAGTTTACTTTTGAGCAAATTGCAAAAACTTTTACGGTTTACGCCTGGCAATTTCGCTTGCCATATACGTACGTATAGAACGTTAGTAGATCACTAGGAAGTATTTTTTTACCTTAGCAATACATAACCTGTAGTGTTTGTTTATCTGTTATTTAGAGTCTTTATTTTTAAAAATTTTCTTATTTCTGATTACAACATGTCAAATGGAGCACACAACCGAAAACCGATTTTAAAAATGTTTTTATTCTTTACTGATATGTTATTAAGGTTAATTTCTCCGCTGTATTCACAAAATGTTCATTAATCTCAGATTAGGCACGGTAATATTATCTATACAGTATTGTAACTCGGCCGTATCTTTCAAATAAATGCCTACAGCCGTGCGGCACGTAAACATGTGATAGGGTTACCTGCCTCCAGAATTTTTACATTTGCCTACTTTGTGTTTCCATTTAGTTTTATGATTGTAAATATACTTTTTATATAAACAAATAAAATAGGTACTTTGTGAATCGAATAGGAAGTGTTCAATAAAAATGCGTGTCGTTTTTTGATTGGTAGATTTAATTAAAAAAACCATGTTTATGTTTGAATAACAAATCGGTTAAATAAATTTGCGACCGAAAACTATTTGCACCTCGGCTGAGACTTACGAAATGCTTTATTATTAGATTTTTAAATATAAAAAATCCGCTTTCTAATATAAAGCTAAAAATAATATAAATTAAAAATTGTTTTGGGAAACATGGACAACGTGGTGAAAAGGAATATCTTTTAATTGGTTATATTTACAATTTATATGTTTGTTTTTAAATGAAGTTCAGATTTATTATTTCTTTATTTCTATTCTATTATTTATTTCCTCCATTTTTTAATATTTGACAAAATCATGACTGCGGCACAGTCTCGACTGTCTGCATGCCGAGCGCATGCCGAGATCGAGGCGCGTAGGCATAGCTCTCGCTTCGTCCGTTTGTATGAAGTTGGAATACTGTATAGATAATATTACCGTAGATTAGGAGTGTAGCTCAGTATAATTATCAAACTTTTTCCATTCTGCTAAATTTATGTAGGACACCATAGAGAGAGAGAACTAGAAAACCTATGTACAAAGACCTGTTGGTTGGTGATATATTAGATAAATTGCAGTTAACAACTGACAAAATAACAAAGAACTATAAAAACATTTTGCTATAAATTCTTTAACTTATTGTCCTCATAGATATCACTTAAACGTAATTTAATTATTAGAAAATCTTATTATTCGGATTGATTCTAGTCGCCAAATTTCACAAACGCATATCGCATCAAAATTCACGGTACCATTCTCGCCATCTGGATGCTTAGCGGTCCATCACTGTGCGTTTTAATGGAAGTTTTCTTCCTCGTACAACATCTCTGTGGAATTGTTTACCACCGGCGATTTTTCCGGACGGATATGACTTAGGGAGTTTCAAAAAAAGCGTTTTTTTATTTATTTATTAGGTAAGCCGCATGCTTGTTTACCCCCTCCTTTATAAAAAAAATACTTAACCAAATTTCACTGACATATTTCCTAAATAAAATATGATCACCAAAAGTATAAAATAGAGCGAAATAAAAACTCTACATCATGGTACGTGTAGGTAACATACTTGTATCGGCAATTGTATAGAATTAACGGTAAGTTAAAATGATTTTGGTTGACTTATCAATTTCTCTATCATACGGTATTGTATAGTTAGAGGTCCCAGCTTTTTGATTCACACTAGTGATCTACCCCTACTTTGCACGGGTGATTTCTGGAACTTGACAACAGTGCCACCTACCGGGTGAAACTGTGAATATTAACCATTTAGGGACTTACTCAAACCCGCACAAAAAAATTTATCAGAACCTGTCGAGCCAGTTTCGAGTTTTAGCGAGTCTAATGGACTGCAATTGATTATTATATATAGAGATATGGTATTTCATGTAAAATAGCGCAATTGGGTCAGCTTGACCGGGGTAGTACAGCATTCACTTGCTATAAGGTGGTCACCCTAATTATATTAAAAAATTGTGACTATTATGAAGTTCAGTTAAAGGCGAAAAAAAACCGCTTTGTTTTAAATTATTTTTTTATTAAAACCTTATTGTCAACCTCACGTCATAGTCCTCTTTTATTTTACTAAAATATATTATTTAAGAATTATCGTATATACCTACCTATACCTAGTACACATACATAGAATACAATATTTTATAATAGGGTATAGAATCATATGGTATGGTATATTATGCTGTGTATTCTGTAATTCTGCGTAATCTTAAATATTATATCATTAATAACCGTTTAGAATATATTATAATCACCTGGCGAAGTTAGAACATGGTGGCATCTTACGAATGCTTTCGGAACGTAATATCTGCGCAGGAAATATCATAGTACCACAAGTGTGTGTGCACCACTGCGCAGTGACAATGTAAGACAATCCACTATTGGGTAGTGAAGCAGGAGTTGAAAAGCAACGTCTTCATAACAACTGAAATTATAAAAAACTACGGTTGCCAACCCACTTGCCAAGCCTGTCAACTATGAGATGTGAGGCATTCTACGGGACAACTCAATATTTAGTAATGGACTCTTTATGAGCTGTAATGAATAAATAAATGAATGTAGTGCACAGTCATTCCATCGTCCTGAAACCGTCTTGAGCGCTTCTCTGACGTAATGTTCGTGTGATAAAATATTCAAACTATACACGAACATAGGTTAGGATCCAGTGTTACAGACGCTGCGACGGACAAACAACGGCAAAACCCAAAATAAATTTTTGCTATGACTGGGTCGAAATCTAGGACTCATTGAGTTGTAAGGTAAGTATTACGCGATGCAAGTCTCGTCGCTACTGCGTCTATAAGTTGTAGTTTTATCAAGAAAATTTTAAATAATCGCAAAATACCTAAGTAATGGAACTATTGCATAAGCTTTTGCCGTTCGTATGCCTAATTACGAAAGTCAAGTGAGAATCTTACTTAAAAAAGAGCTACTACATATAGTCTACAACAGTTTACACTTTTCTTTCGACTGCCTCGTTGGTCTAGCTCAGTAATTCCTTACCAGTGGTCCGCAAGAACTTAAACATGGTCCGCGAAAGATTTAAATATTTTGCCTACCTAAGTATCAGTTTACATTTTGAGAAGTGACAAGTGCGAGTGGCAAGTGCAACTGTCAAATGAAATGTAGTATTGTAAAATTTATTTTATTACCGCTTATCACTTGTCACTGCCTGTTCACACGCACTAACCACTTGTCATTTGTAGGTTGCACTCGCCACACGCACTTGTCACTTCTCAAAATGTAAACAGGGCCTAATCGTTTTAAATAACACATAATATGTTATTTTTAAGTACCTAGTAGCTTTTGCAATAAATACACAAATAATACTGTTAACGTATACTTCTTTTCAGTTTATTACATAATAATGTTAAAAGTTGTGATCTTCGATCAACAATACCAACTGTTGATCGAAGGTTGTGATTATAATTTATTGTTAGATTAACGCAGTTTTTAGGGTTCCATAGTCAACTAGGAACCCTTATAGTTTCGCCATGTCTGTCTGTCCGTCTGTCCGTCCTCGCTTAATCTCTGTGACCGTTAGCACTAGAAAGCTGATATTGGGACCAATATGTGTATCAATCACGCCGACAAAGTGGTAAAATAAAAATTGGAAAAAATGTTTTATTAGGGTAGCCCCCCTATATGTAAAGTGGGAAGTGATTTTTTTTTAATTTCAACCCTAACGTGTGATATATTGTTGGAAAGGTATTTAAAAATGAATAGGGGTTTACTAAAATCATTTTTTGATAATGTCAATAATTTCGGAAATAATCGGTTCCAAAAGTAAAAAACAATGTGTCCCCCCCCCCCTCTAACTTTTGAACCATAAGTTTAGAAAATGTGAAAAAAATCTGAAAAGTAGAACTTTATAAGGACTTTCTAGGAAAATCATTTGGAACTTGGATGGAAACAACAGTACCCACTACCGGGAGCAGTTGCAGGAGCGCGGAGCGCTGCTGGAGCGCGAACATAATGGATACCCACCTTTAAACTCATAAGTGGGAACACTTATTGTGACGGACGGGAAACTACGGAACCCCACACTGAGCGTGGCCCGACACGCTCTTGGCCGCTTTTATTTTTATCACCTTCTGGTCCCTGCCTACAACAAAAAAATCAAAGTGGGTTGGGAAACCCTGGTCCAGCGAGTGGTTCGAATTCCGAATGGGCCGAAAAATCAGCTATTGGGTTTTTTCTGTCAAGAAATTCTAAGTAGCACATGTGATATCAAGGTGCTTCACCCTCAAGATTCGTAAAGTTGTTGGCCTACACCTGGCTTCAGAGAGAAGTTCGAAAGAATATAGTGTACTGGTTATTGACTGGTTTCCGTTGAATCTAGCTGCCGTGATCAAAATTCGGTCAAGAGGACATTATCATCATTATTTATTCACACTGTGAAACAATAAAATCTATGTTAGTCTAATTTTTCCTATTTGAATTTCAGGGTGCTAGGGACAACCTAACTGACTCGGATTCGGGCTGCGTGTCTCCCGGCTCCCGGATAAAGGACTCCGCGTCGCCCGAACTCAAACGAATGGATTCAGGCTACAAATCCCCACAGATGCCAAGCAGCCCCTGCAACCCCCGTCGCCATCTTGCTACACCCCACGATGATTTTAAAGAGGACTTCGCTAAAGCTCAAGTGTTGGCTGAAATTTTGGACAGGAACTCCGAAACCAGTGACTCATTAAGGAGTAATCCAGTGAAGGATCATTTAGAACAGATGATATTGAATGCGGCTTCGGCGGAAGACAGAAGTTGCTTGGAACAGGTCTTAATGTTATTGTACAATTACCAAGCACTTAGTAGTTCTGTCAGTGAAGACGAATGTTATCAGGTTAGTACTTTTCTTTAATCTGGTATTTTAAATGGTTTATCAATAAATCAATAATAATTTGGGTGGGATTTATATACATTGATTAAAACTACTTTTACGGATTTTATCGCGTTTAATTTTAGTTACTTTTATTTTTAATTCCCGACGTTTCGGGTGCTTTCCAGCACCCATGGTTACGGGGGACTGAGGTGACTGACGTCCCGATGTCGTTGTTAAACCCGGAGTACCAGCTTTTTTAATTATTGTTTATGGTCTGATCTATGCAAAATGAATTGACTATGTCCTGATGTCTGCATTGGTATGCTTGGGTTTAGTTTTAATTTTATTGATTATAGGATCCCAAGCAGGTGGTAGTACCCAGCCTCCTTCTCTATTGAAATTAGGATGTTTTTATAATTTCAATAGCCTCACGTATCATCCTTGGTAGGAATCAGTGTTCTTTCGATAGTAAGGTAGTAGTATCTCTGATGTAATGGTTGGGGCCGTCTAGGATATGATCACAAACTGCAGACTTCCCGCAACGTTGATGCTTCACATCAGTTATATGTTCTTTTACGCGGGTTCTAATTGGTCTTTTTGTTTGTCCTATTTAAGAGAAACCACATTCACAATCAAGCTTGTACACTCCTGCATCTTGTAGAGGAATATGACACTTGACGGATGGTAGGAACTGACTAATCTTCTTCAGCGGCTTGTAGAATATTCTAATAGAAGCTCGCTTAAAGACGTAGCCAATCTTGTCTGTGATACCTCTGACATATGGTAGTACAGCAGGCACACGCTCAACTGTGCCCGGCTTCACTCGGTCACTGTGACGTAGGCGCGGGACCCAAAGCTTGTTGTCGTGCAGAACTTGCTTGACGTGCTGAAGCTCGGCGGCCAGCTGTTTTCTGTCACAGATCTCTTTGTTACAGCGACAAAAAACAACTCCGGTACGGGACGTCAGTCACCTCAGTCCCCCGTTACCATGGGTGCTGGAAAGCACCCGAAACGTCGGAAATTAAAAATTAAAATAATGAAAATATAAATTAAACGCGATAAAATCCGTAAAAGTAGTTTTAATCAATGTGTAATGTTCGCGTAAATATGAGAAATCATTATGGGATTTATATAAATGGATCTCGAATGATAAACCTTATCATCTCGATATTGAAATTAAATACTGGATATTTATAAAAGATGCATTTACTTTTGTCAACAGCTTTTGTCATCTTTGAGAGATAAATTAATCACTTTGACGTTTTAAATTAAAAAAAATTGTATTTGTACACTCACAAAAATTCAACATTTTGCAAAATTTTAACGTGTTTCACAGGCAAAACCGAAAAGAATATGCGATTTGAAATTAAAATTTGAAGCCGACATTCCACCGCACAAAACTCATAAAGCAATAGCCACTGTTACACCGTACCAGCAGAAAGGGTACAAGAGTGAATCACTCGAGAGCCTTTGTTTAGAAGAGAGGAAACCTGTCAATTTATTACAAGAGAGTGGGATTTTCGAAGAAGTTGAGACAGAATCCAAGAGCACACAAACAGACGTCAACGAAAGCTTTGAGTGTTCCGGCGAATTAAATACTGAAATACAACGACTGAATAGCATAAGGGAGAAATTAGAAAGACAGGGAGTTAGAAATAGGACTTTAAGCTCGAAAGAGGACAGCGAAGGGTTAGAGTGCAGATGTGTAAAATTGGGAAAGAAGCACAAACAGTATTACGAGAGGAGGCTTAAATTTCTCGAAGGGAAGATATCTATATACGAAGCGGCGCAAGACGTTAAAGAAGCGAAGCTAGCTCAGAGGCTACAGAAAGAGTTCTTACTTGAGAACAGGATACAGGTACGATTCATATTTTAGAGCAACTTATTTAGAGGCATAATATTTCTTATTTTTGGAGATAGTAATACGCATTGAGTAGTGCAGCGGAAAACCCCTCTCAAAATTGAGAGGAGGCCTGTGCCCAGTAGTGGGACATATAAAAGCTGTAACTTCAATTTTAAATTTTTATTTAAAATCATTACCACAAATCAAAGACATTTAAGTAGTAATAGTAATATATTTAAATCTCTTTGCCACAAATATAACACAAATAACCGTTGAAATTCAGTAGCGAAATGAGTTGTATTGTGTAGAATTCTAATTTTAAATAAAACTATTATTAACTATAAATATTTGATAGAGATTTTGTATTAATTTTATATAATTGGGGTTATCAAAACAAATCATTCATATGAAATAGTTACCACACTCTTCTCCATCACCAGCGCTTAAAATCCACTGATGAACATGGGTTTCTTCCGTTGTAGAAAATATAAACCTTAATCATTATATTTCGAGGACCAGACTAGTAAGTACCATACTAACCTAGGAACTACACTTACACCTAGGAACTTTGTTACAAAAAATAATTTAAGAAAATTTCGTACCGAGGAATTATGATTGTAGAGCTATCTTCATACTAGGTTGAGTAATATTTCATAATATACTTACTAAGAAGGATTACCTATGTATTTATTATGTAATACTTAAAAATTTCGTATGATATATATATATATATATATATATATATATATATATATATATATATATATATATATATATATATATATATATATATATATATATAAAGTATATAGCGTATATTTTTATATTCACATTCACACATAGACATTCTCAAGTTTTTATGGAACCTGCTTATGTTTTTCTGCTTAGCTCGTAGTTGACAGGTAGAGAATACCTACATAAAAGCATTATGTCCGCCAATTGTACATTTATATATTTTTTTTAACTTTTATTACTTATTTTATTACCTTCAATTCCAATGTTGGAATCTTGTTATCTTCTGGTATAAAAATGTTGTTGAAACAGTACTACTAAAATATTTCGTATTACATTTTACGACTTCGTTAAAATCATTACAATAAAAGTGGCCATCGACAAAGCAGTTTAAGGCATCAATGAATGATTGCGGATATCCATATACATCACTCAGAAACAATAGATTCAACACCCTTCCGCTCGCATCATGACGTAATTCGAACATTTACAGTTACGCTCGTTTCAAACATTGACCCCTTATGCTTTCTGTCCAGGAGTTGGAAACTCAACTTGAAGAGCTTCAGGAAAAGTACGAGAGGCTAGAGGAGGAATGCTGCGAGCTGGAGGAAATTGAGAACGACACCCGTTTGCATTGGCAGCAGTAAGTCTTGTCACCAATTACTCATGATACGTAAAAAAATTTGTTTCAATAATAGTATAGAGTATATAAAAACTACAGTAATATAAAAGTAGAACTCTGTTTGCCCATTAGGCGTTTATATATATATATATATATATATATATATATATATATATATATATATATATATATATATATATATATATAGTAACCGGATGACCGAGCTTTGCTCGGTTTTTTTTAATTCGTGTGTTTTAGAAATTATATTTAGATACAAATTACATACTGATGAAATACGAATAATATTTTTTGATCTTAGCGACATAATAGAAAAACTGAACTGGTTATTTGAAAAAAAATCATGAGTGAAATTAGTTTAATTTAAATTTTCGTGTTTTTAAAAAATACTAAAGAAAAAGGGCTCGAAACAATAGATTTTCTCAAAAAAGAAAGGAACTTGAAAACAAAATTAAAAAAAAGTCGGTCAGTTGGCCTGGGCTCGAACCATGGTATTACGATTTTGCGACCGCCCAATATACCAATTAAGCTATTTGTAATCATTAATAAACTGTCAAAATTTACCTTATTATTCTAACGATATTGTAGCCATTTTTTTATTGACTGAAAACACGGACAAAGGGACATTTTCTAAAAATAAATCCTATCTAGATCGATTTATTGCCCCCGAAACTCTCTGGACACTAAATTTTATGAAAATACGTTGGAGCTCGTTTCTAGGTATAGGATATATATATATATATATATATATATATATATATATATATATATATATATATATATATATATATATTGTAGGTACCTACTTAAGATTATAATTTTAGAACCACTTTTTTCCTCATCTCAACTTTGTTAATACGTATACTTAGGAAAAAAGGTACATGGAATGGAAAAAATGAAAATATATTCCTAATATTTTAATTTATATTTTTAATATTTCTATCTCTAGGTACGTTGATTGGGGTTTCAATACTATTCAACTTATTAGTCTTATTCTCAAGTAATTTTTCTAGTAGTTCTTACCTGACCTTCTTATCTGACCTCTTCATAATTCTGAGAGGATTTCGGAGGATTTTTCCGAACTCTTTCAGTAGGGACCAGAGAAATTCCTACAATTTTGCAAAATTAACATTTTGATTATGTGTATTGTGGGTTGGTGAGTTCAAATACTTATGACACTCTCATAAAGATAAAGAAAGTTAAGCGGACTTTATTTTTTATCAAGTTCTAATTCGTTTTCTTCTCTATTTTTGTCTCTTCTTCGGTACAAATGTTGCAATTGAGTTTATAGTGACTTCCCCGTTAGTAACAGACTTGAAACTTTGAATTTACCCAGAACTGGAAATTTAATGAAAATGATCCTGGTTTTGAATTATAATTATTATAATAAGCTTCAGACCATTAGAAATTGGCTTACAGAAATCATCAAAAAAAATTAACGCGTTAAAATTAACTTTAGGTCCGTGTTCGAGTGTCTGTATCACTTATAGTCCGTTACGAATTTTTGTTAAAGCTGCTCCTACTGTAGAGTTAGCTGTTGTGAGAAAATAAATTGAACCCTTTGATACTAGTTGGTAGTAGAATACACGGAGGTGTTATGCAATGTTTGCAAAAGTGTATAAATACTTATAAGAGAAAAAGAATGATGGGCGAACCGCTGCATATATTTCAAGTACGGACACCTGTAAATCATTTCCAATGATTTCCAACTAACAATATGGTTTTGAGATAGAATGCCATTAGAAAGAGTTTTCGGCCCACTCTATTCACCATTCGAAATTAAATGTACGTGGAGTTTGGATAGGTGATAGTTTTTTATATAGGATAATGGTCACAAACGAGCACCTAGTCTATCTGATGGTAAGTGTATTCTGTGGCCCATAGACGTCTAAATTTATCCTCGATTAAGAATCAATATTCAGACTCGTCACCTATGACCTATAAGCATAAAGATGGAATTCCTCGTTTCCAGTAAAAAGGGCCTCCTGTTCTCTGCACTCACCATACGTAATGCAGCAGCATTATTCTCTTATTTTACGTTGGTATTATAAGCGTGGTCTCAACCTGGTGGAGCCGAGCCATTTTGCTACAAGCATAATATAGCTACAACGTCGCTCTAGCACGTATAAAAGTGTGTCGTTGCGCGCAGGCTAGAGATGGAGTACGAGCTATGCTCGGCGCAGCTGCGCGACATGACGGAGCAGCGCGAGTGCTCGCGTGCGCACGCGCAGCGCCTGGCCGCCGAGCTGCAGCAGCGCGATGCCGCGCTGCGAGCCCGCGAGGTACCCACCACACCACACATCGCTGTTGCCACACATCTAGAACCTGGTTACGATAGGACTATGTTCACTGCTGTAGGTGTACACGTCTTAGCCAGACGAGATGGTGCACGCGTAAGCGCCTCGGCTCCTACCTCTCGCACCAAGCGATCCTACGAAATACCCACCACACCACACGACCCATACTCTCCTCCTAACTCTCTCATAAACCTCTCCCGTTGCAAGTATAAGTATTAGTCAATCATCACAATTGACAAACGCAGACGTCTCGCACCTATGACTTTGCTACCCATAGTTAGTTTGGGTATTAGATAGACATAATGGAGTATGCGCAGCATCTCGCTGCGGATTTCGCACAGCGTAGCACCGCGCTTCGCACCTGCGAGGTACTCACCACACCTAAAGACACATCACCAATACCTCACAACACCTTAGAACTCATAGTTACGAGATACCCATGTCCACTGCTATTAATGAACCTCACCAGCTGTAGCAAGTATTTGTTAATCGTCACGTTCATCACGATTAACAATCGTAGACGTCTTTAACTAAAACGATAACTTCAAACATTGCCGAAATTTTTTAATTGCAGTGTAGTTATTAAAATAACTCAGACACGCATACAGAGGCACACATCAACGGCTGATTTCTGATAAAACGATTATTTTTCTTCTTTATGATTCCACTGCTAGGCAGTTTTTCCCGCTGTAGGAAGAATGTTATTCTTTTTCCTATTTTTTATTTAGTTCTTCTTCTGGGTTGTCTGAAAGAGATTGCTATGTACCAATAAGACCGCCTTTTGTTTTCCCTCAATATTTGTTATTTTTTTATTTTATTTTTATCTCTTCTTTGTGTACAATAAAGAGTAATAATTAAGAGTATTGTACTGATACTGGTGCCCGTTGCTGGTCTTGGTATTTTATTTCTGGTTCATATGAGATGGTTATACCGAATTCGGAAGTCTTTAGAATGTTTTGGCAATTACCATTATTTGCCTGTTACGACACCCACGGAACAAAATGCCGGATTCACATATAATCATGAATATGAACAACAGGAAGTTATTCCTCATTTGCATCCTCATCACCGCCAATCATCAGATTATGTTGCCATTTCTTTGATTCAACTGCATGATTTAATTGGCTTCTGAGTCGAGTATACGGCGTCAAGAAAAGCAAGCAGTAGACTATTAAGGATTTCAGTCGTCCCTCACTTTCTTATTACAAAATATGGTTTATTGACAGACTTGGGTTTGAACTATGATGATTAAGGAGAGTCCTTCTCGCAAAAGAAGTCGCTTAGCCACAGCGCCACAATGTTCGCGATATTTGAAATTTGCTGTAAATCTCATAATTTGCATTTTGGTCTATATAATTCAGCGAGACTTGTTTTGGGTACCACTTTATGTAATAAGGCCGTCAGGGATCAGGAATGCTCCTTCTGTTGACACATATTTGCTTTCAATACATATATTTCAATTTTTCTATTTCAGAAAGAATTGTTGTCGAGGCTTGAAGGCTTAGAGAAGGCAGTTCCGGCGTTAATAGTTTGGAATGTCATGCAAACGGCGGGGACTTATGTCTCCCCGGGAGGCAAGGTCAGTTACTACTTCAATATTTTAAATATAAGAATTATGTACTTATTCAAAAAAAAAAACCAATTTATTATTTAAAGCCAGCGAAACAACATTAAGAATTAATATATTGAGAGCTATTAGATTTTTTGTCCCTTACTCTGGTTTGGCGAGAGTTGATAAATGTTATGAAAACATCTCGTAATAGCGATTATCGCTTAAGTATCGCAATCTGTGTGACGGGCCAGACGGGCGGTGTAAGCAAATAGTTTTGTCATATTAAAACAAAATAGTAGGATAACTCCCGCGCCACGCGAGACTTAAATGCCTACTGTTGCAGGGTTGTCACTGTATTTTTGTTTTACAGCTAAGTCTTATTTACTTTTATAAGTAGTTATAATATTTACAAACGTAATACACACGGATACGTACCTATCCATGATATTTGTTAATCAATCAATGTTCAATCAAATGTTTGTCAAAAAAAATCCAGCTTTACGTTATAACAAATGCCAAATAACTAAAATACACACTTACACTGAGCATATGGTGTCAGCTCAGATTTAATGTTTAAAATTAATGTGATATGATACGTAATTAATGAACTTACGAGGTATACATATATCTATGTATAGATAATAGTAATATAAACTATTAGTAAAAAGCAATTTTTTTAAACAAACGCATATATTATTTTGTTTTACAAAAGAGAAAAAAAGTCTGCTAGCAAAGTTTAAATAAAAGTCAACAAAGTCTCAAACAAAGGTGATTGTGGAGAACGGCGGTGGCCGTCCCCGACTCTGCCCGATGTTCCCGACTTAGCAAGTGGTGTTATGTGCGTGCAGTGACTCGTGCATTAGAGTCCGTACTGTCACGTGCCAGGCACGCACTCATATTAATGGCGTTCGGTACATTTCTTAGAAGAAAGCTTACTATTCTGTTTTTACTGTGTTTTTGTCGTACGAGTTTTGCAGCTGTCGTCAAACACGAGGTCAGACGAGCAAGCAGACGCGGCGATTTTTATGCGCTCAGAGCCTCAAAATTCAATTTGATTAAAAATTGGTCCTTTTAAAATATTTATTACTACTTTTTTTGTTGTTGTTTTATTTTATATGACGTCACAATTAACAACGCTTTTTTTGTATTAAAGTGGTTGATTTGATTTCTGAAGAAATAGTTATGCAGCTGGCTCAGAACCGTGTTTTGGAGCATTCCTTGGGTCGGCCTATGTTCAGCAGGGGACGATTATTTGTTAATATGTTAACAGCTCGTAAAATTATTTCAATTGACATGCGTCTCAACTACCTAATTATTTAAAACTTGTTTTGTATATGACTACGATAAAAAATCCAAGTAGATATAGTAAATGTCTCCCCTGCAGTGTTTCCATTCTTTAATTTGTCTTACTGGCCTTTCTGTACATATTTAACATAAGTTGCACAGTATATTTTGAAATCGTTTCTTTACTGTTAATATCGATTTGCATTTTAACAAACTTTTACTTACACAAAACTACTAGTAAAACCTTCTTAATTTAATTTTATGAATTATAAAATACGTTAATTTCAGCATGTACTGATGTCTCGCATGTGTCCATTGAGTCACGATGCCAAAACTGCGATTGCGACGTTTAAACAGGGGTCCATACCCACAAGTGGGCCGTTAGTCGCATACAATGACATCACTGTCGTCAATAGGCCTACTATCAGAGAGCTTGAGAAGCAAATCACCAAGTGAGTAATTGGCTATTACAACATAATATATAATACATTTCGGGTAAGAAACTCTCAATCGATTCGAAATCGTAATTCGACTGCTGTCGTGACGAACGGTTGCGTTGCCCATACTATCTAGCTTTCTAGTAGGAAATGATAAAACATATTACATTGAAATAATACTAGTTTTTACGGAATTTATCGCGTATATTTAACTTTTTAAATACCCGACGTTTCGAACGCTTTACAGCACTCATGGTCACGGGCGGGACTGAGATGTTCAACGTCCAGATGTCAGAGTTAACAGCGGATACCATAGATTAAAATTTAACTTTTGTTCCGATCTACACAGTATGAACTTATGGTATCTTGAAGTCTTGCAGTTGTATGCTTGGGTTGGGATTTAATTTTATTTATTATGGGATCCCAAGCAGATGGTAGCACCCAGCCATCTTCTCTATTGAAATTAGGATTTTTTTTTATTTCAATAGCCTCGCGAATCATCCTTGCAAGGAATCGGTGTTCTTTAGCGAGGATTTGTGGTCTATCAAATCTGATGTAGTGACGGGGGCGATCCTGTACGAGTTCACAGACTGCAGACTTCCCGGAGCGTTGATCTTCACATGATTGACATCTGGACGTTGAACATCTCAGTCCCGCCCGTGACCATGAGTGCTGTAAAGCATTCGAAACGTCGGGTATTTAAAAAGTTAAATATAGCGATAAATTCCGTAAAAACTAGTATTATTTCAATGTTTAGTGTTCGCGTAAATATAAGAAATCATTAAAACCTATTACTTTATATATGTTCAGAATTTGTATGAGTAAATAATTTTCCGTGTAGTGGCGGTGTAAGAGTTTCACTGCTCAATATCATCGAGTGGGTGTCGTAAGAGGTAATAGAAGGAAACTAAAGCAGGAGTATACGTGGTAGAGCCACGCTCCAGCTACATTGTGTTTGTATCATGAATGGGTGGGCTCGACCGGAGCTGGACCACGCTCTCACAGAATACCAGCGTCAAACAGCAGCCTAATACTGCTGTGTTTCGTATGGTGAGTGTAGAGAACTAGAGACCCTTTTTTACTGGAAACGCATCTGCATTTTGATTCTTAATCGAGGATAAATGTAAATGTCTATGGGCCACAGCAGCCACTTGTTATCAGGTGGACTGTGTGCTCATTTGTCACCCTTATTCTATAAAAAAAGGAGATGGGCAGCAGGATCTTGCTGATAATATAATTCTAAATTAAAAACTGTGGTCACCAACCCGCCTGCCTGACGTGGCAACTATGGTAAAATGCCTCTGGGAAATCTATGGGGGAGGCCTATGTTCAGCATTGGACTTTTATGAGCTGCAATAGCATAGATGGATAAGTAAATATTAAGTAAAGTAACAGCCTATATACGTCCCACTGCTGGGTAGGCACAGACGTACTCTCATTTCTAAAATGGTTTTAAGACAAGAAAGTATTCATTCGCCGCGCTCCTATAATGTGTGTTGACGGACTTTGCATGTCTTCGAAATATTTTTTTTTCAACATGTACTTTCTCTCACGATTTTCCTACACCGCCTTGCAGTGACAACTCAACATTTAAAATACACTTAATAATCACAGTGCTACCGATGGGGATCAAATTCAACCCGAGTTTCACTTGCAAACTCAAAAATTTAAGGCTAAGCTCGCTCTAAATCTAAGTTATTACGCTATGCAGTAAACTGCAAACAATAATTGACAACGCCTTCTTATATTAAACAGATTATTAGCAGAAAAGAGTGAAGTAGAGAAGAACGCAGAAAAAGTGAAGAAGTCCCTAGAGTTAAGGATAAAACAGTTGGAAGAGGAACTGGAGACCGCAAGGCGACAGATTGCGGCTGCCGAATGTGGAGCTGAAGTTAAGAAAGAGAAGATAGAAGAGAAAATCGTCGAGTTAGAAGAAAAGATCAGAAGAGAGAAAGACGCGGAGCAGGTTAGTGAAGTAATACATTAGGACCCGTATTCCATATAATCTGTACTGTTAACAATTACATTTTTACAATAACGAAAACTATGAAAAATATCTTATATTAAGAAAATGGATGTCATATCAGGTTTTCTTGACTTCTTCATGAAACCTATTGTTTGGATTGGTACTTTAGAATTATCCCGTCGAAATCTCAATTTATAATTAAAAAGTTAATTTTTTTCAGTATTATATTTTATATCATTATAATGCACGCGGATTTAGTGTGGCCGTCCCAGCCCCATCTTAACCTACTATAAAAAGATAAATTATTTTCGCAAGCGTTTCATTTTCATATTTTCGAGAGGTCGACGGGATAATCCCAAAGTACCGCGGAGGATTTGCCGTAATCTTTAGACTTGACAAACGGAATAACCCAGTAGCCCACGTCTCATATTTCGCTCTGGGTCTGAGTATTTTTCGTCTTGCGTATGTTGAACGTTAATTGAGCAACAAATGTTTTTGTGCTCAATGACTTGAAATTACTCTAAGGAATTGCATTAAAAACTCCATTTTTGTACAATATTTAAGGCCGTTAATATTTTCACCACAGAGCTACAAAGCTCATGGATAAAATAGTAATATAGTCCAAATGCTAACAAGTAAAATCGAAGGAAAGGAAAGAAAGAAAAATAGAGCAAAATATTTATTACGCCGCGCAATGACAACGACACAATATACAAATTTATCATGAAAATTTATTAGTTAATACTAATATAAAACATACCGAAATTGACGAAGAGAATTCAGCCCCATTATTAGGCGTGGTAGCGGTTTATGGCTGAGTCACGGTTGACCACTGTTTTTAAATAAATTATTTATGCAAGATAAATCTAATATAAATTCCATTTCCAGATGCCTGTCGATCCAGTAACAAGCAATAAAATAAAAGCCTTGCTGCTCAATGAACAAGAACTCAAAGCTCGTATCGCCGAACTTGAGAGGCGAGAGACGGCCTATTTGGAGATGCTGACTCAAGCGGACGACATGTGGGCGGAGATGGAGGGAGGATATAAGAAGAGAATAGAAGAGTCACAGACCACGGAAGCTCAGCTAAAGGGAATGGTGAGGTGTTATTGTAGTTTTTTTATAAAGTTTAAGTGACAAATGGTCTTGCAACCACCTGATGATAAGTGGCTACTGGAGTCGATGGATACCTGCAGCCAACGTCAAATGAAGAAGGCTATGAAGTCGTTGTCACCGCTGAGGTGCTTAAATCAAATATCTCTAATTATATTAGCTCTCTGTACCCTCCAGACCGAAACACAGCAGTGCACGCACTTCTGCTTGGCGGCAGAAATAGTTGATAAGGTACCCATACGGACTCCCAGGCTGAAAAGAAATTCTACCACCTATTTCTATAGTGATGTAGTATCTATACAACATGTAACGTAACTAACGCACAATCTGAAAGTAGTTTGTTCAGAATCGTTTAATGAATTGGTTTCTATCATTTTTAATATAGGTAATTTTTATCCCAAAAATAAAACTACGTAAATTACTGTGACACTAAACCTGTACAGTCAAAATAAACTGAAATAGACCGTAACTGGCAATAAGAATTTTGAAAGTGCAGTTTTATTTGTATTAATACAAATAAAGAAAAATGAACCTTATTTCAAGGACGTTAAAGTCTGCGTTCGTGAATTTGTACTGCGACCACAACATTCTTCCGGAATCAGTATAACTAATTTAATAAATAATCAATGCATATACATGTTTAACTAAAACGTCAGAGTATGTATTATGATTATAACATAATATACTAATTGGGGGGTATCTGTCGGTATGTTTTATATTAATACGTGATATATATTACATGTTTTATATTAATACGTGAAGGAAAAACTTTGCACCCTTTTAAAGCATATTGCCCACACGGAGGAGTGTGTGTTTTGGTACAGTTAAATTTCATAATATGGAGAAGGAATACATAACGCTAAAGTTTATACAGAATATATCCTACAAACACATAAAATTTAATAAAATAAAACATACATTGTTTACGTTTATAGTGCAAATATCGAACACATAATTGTCTGTAGTCACACAGTCGCACAGAGCAGAGATTGTCGCCAAAAAATTGCATAATATTGCCAACAAATATTTACTGACATATTGGTTGAATGAGCTGCGAATTCTGTGTGATTTCAAATATTCCTTTTTCAATAATGTGTTAAGACAAAAAGCATTTATTTTATATTTTGTATGTAAGATAATTTGTGCTTAATGTACAAACTTAAAATTTAATGAATTGCGGTCGAGTTTTGACCACTAGGCGACCACTAGTAGTAAATATTAAGTTATAAGTAGGTAGCCTATCCATAAATTTAGTTTTGTTCGGGGAAGTGATATAGCAAGCCTCTCCCGTTGTAGGGGAAATTTCCTTAATCTTTAAGCTTGATAAAAGAATTGGTGACGGCAATACCAGACGTCTTGCACCTTTGACGATAATATGTACAGAACAAAATAGCGTCATGAGTTCTTTTACCCTCCAATTTGAAAAATAAAATGCATGAATTTGTTTTACACTTATTTTTTTAAATATCTTAGTTCTAATATTACAATTTTGAATATCAGATGACGAAATTAGAAGCAGAAAGAGATCAATGGAAGGCGTGCTTCGAGCCGATTAAGAAGAAACTGAGGGAAGTGGAAGAGTCCGAATCTGGAATGCGGATAGCTTTAGAAAAAGCCGAAAGGGACACCAAGGCCCTGAAGATGCAGAACTCTAACCTAACAGTTTTGTATGGAAAGGCTGAAGCCGAAGCGAAAAAATCAGAAGCGGCCTTCAGGGCGCTTGATGCCAAGTTTAAAGTAAGGACAAGTTTCGTTTACCCTAAAATTATTTCCCTTTTGCTATCGCGTATTTGTAGTAGTTTTTACGTTCAAGAAATTTATCCCCTTATGATTCATTGCATTATTTAAAAATTGTGTGTACTAACTGTTTTTATAGTGATCTTAATCAGCCACTTTTAGAATCTAAAATATTTTTATAGTTTTAATTTTACGAAATTAATGAATTCCTCAATCAAAAGTTTGGTGCAAAATTTTTCATAAGTTCAAAATTTAAAAAGTTATTGAATACAAAAATATTTTTATTCTATCAACAGAAAGAAATCGAACACCTACGCAAAATGAACAAACAACTGGATGAAGACCTGAAGAGTCACAAGGAACTGTCACGCAAGACTGAAGTTAGCTTCATGGGAGATCTGGAGTGCATTAGAAAAGAACTGAACAGAGCTTGCAAGAATAATCAAGAGCTAGAAGTCACTAACAGTGAACTAAAGGAGGAGGTAAGCTTTTATAACAGATATTATGTAAAATATGTTTAAAATATTTGCAAAACAAATTTTTCCATTCTGTTGTGGCCAAAGCTTTAAAGCAGTAAATGTCGTAAATTTAAATATCATAGAGGTCTTTCAAAATATTTAATGATTTATAATGACTTCTATACGTGTATATAAACGGATAATTCGAATTAAATAGTTTCAAAATTTCTCACCGAGGAACAGTAATAAAAAATTACTAAACAAATTTTAAATCAATAATAATAAAATTAATTTGATAATAAATGTAAAGTATTACTAAATATATTGGGATTCTCAAAACGATTAGCAATGATAATTAAATGAAATTAATGTGCTGTAGTCTTTAGTTACTTGAAAATTATTATTTGTAGATAAACTGTAGTATTTTTTTTTGTCTTTGGTAAAAGGTGGTCCTTCCAAGGTTGAGTTGGAATTTGTAGTAGCTTCAGGATTGAGTATTTGTTATCATCAGCGGTAGCTTATTAATATTGCCTTATTGGATTGGGATTAAGACACCTGAAATATTTTTGATTTTTCTCATATATTACAAGAAAATATATTCGAATTCTATTTAACTGTTATGAAAAACAGAAATGCTTCAGGTCATACGAAATATTCTTCATTTGATGATACGGGTTTTACGGTTTAATGGCTCCGCTTGCATGTTTGCTTTCTTACCCGCACGCTTTAATCAGAATTAGTGCACGTTGGAAGAAAACTTTTGTAAATGGATGGAAGAGGATTATACGAACCATATGTTCTCAGGTGGAATCTCTGGAAAAGCAGCTAGCATTGACACAAAAAGCACTAAACCAGTGCAAGAGGAAATGTGACGAGAAAATAAAGACTCTAAGCCACGAGCTGTCCATAAAGACTGAGGAACTAGAGGAGATGAGGAGCGAAAGTATGCGACAGTCCTTACGCACCTCTAGAATAGATCTGAAGCCAGAGCGAACGGAGTACATAGATGAGGGCTATTCTGTTTACACTGCTGTACCAAAGAAGACTGATTATGGGAGAATGCATCATAGTATGAGTTACATAACGTCGGAATCACGTTGTACCTGCCCATCGATGAGAAGTCAACTAGTCAGTCAGCTGATTGAGGACCTATTCGATAGGATGCAGAACGTCATAGATGACGATCTAACTAGGCTTTGTAAAGACATCGGGTCGAGTAACGGTGAAATTAATGCAGAAACCAAATCAAAAATTACGAATTACCTCTTGATGGCGATATCAAAAGAGTTAATCAGGTCCATAGGAGATGCTGATGCTAAGACTGAAACCGAGGTGAGTAAGAGTAATTCATTATACTTTTCATACCTTTGTGACTAATTTTTTTAACAAACAGCATTAGTTATAGACGTGTCTAATATTGACTAATTCTTTAACGGTTGCGGTACGAAGGAACTATCAAAATTCAGCCGCCATTTAATAATTTTATTAGCCGCATAAGTAACCTGCGTTTTGAGGTTTCATCGAAGATTTTGGCTTTATATCTATTAAAATTCTCGTCGTTTGTACTACCGGAAATTCCACTTTAAAAATGATTACTTGATCGAAATTTCATCTAATTATAATTTTAAAAATAATATTTGTCCCAATAAGATTTTATAAGTCGTAGATTTTATCTTATTTTATTTAATGAGTGGGTTTTTTTTAATTTTACGATTGATTTCGATCAGACATAATAAGATTGATTGATTGCAATCCAGAAGTCTAATACTGCACGGTTATAGCTTACACTTACTCTAATATAATTAAACTGTTGAATTAATTAGCAGTCCTATAGTGGCCACCACTCAGTACTCAGGTATTTTTATGAATTTGTATACGTTATATCCACGAATCATGGAAATATATAAAAAAATGAATGTAATTATTATAAAGAACAACTTGTACGGTATATACACATAATAATAATAAGCGACAACTAATGATATTTAATATCATTAGGTGCCGCGCCGTGCCGTGCCGCTTATTACTATTTTAAAGTTTAAATAATTATACATTCAAAACAGCCTATGATGAATGCTATAAGAGACGAGAATGGCTATATTCTGAATGATGAAGTTTCGAGTTTAAAGAGATGGAAGGAATATTTTGAAAGCGTGTTTATGAGTGAGGAGACAACGTGTGTACTAAGTGAAGTAGAAACTCCGAAAGAAGAGGAAAGAGGTAGCGAGATAAGTATAGATGAAATAATGAAAGCAATGAAAAGCATGAAAGCAAGTAAGGCTGCAGGATATGATAGAGTTTTCACTCGAAATGCTAAGGGCTGGAGAGGAAGTGGTGGAAGGCCTGCAGCACACCTTGTTTAATTTATGTTGGGAACTAAAGCGGGTACCGGTAGACTGGTGCAAAGCCGTGATAGTCCCAGTATATAAAGGAAAAGGGTCGCAGCAGGACTGTAAAAACTACCGTGGCATCAGCCTTCTTAGCATTGTGGGAAAACTGTATGCTAAGGTACTGATTGAAAGGGTCATGAAAGAAACTGATGGAAAAATTTGGGATGTGCAAACGGGATTTAGAAAGGGAATGGGATGTACAGATCAAGTCTTTTCCATGCGCATGATCGCGGAGAAGTTTTTGGCCCAAAACCCAAAAGGTTTTTTGTGCTTTCATGGACTTGGAAAGGGCCTATGACAGAGTGGATAGGGATGTGCTATGGTAAACACTGAACTCATTTGGGTTGAGCGCTGGCTTGATACAGGCATTGGAGTCTCTTTATAGGGACTCTAGTGCTTGTGTTAGGATCAACGGGGTCTACTCGGACTGACGACCGATGATCAAGTTATTCTTGCGTCGTCGGCGGCCGAGTTGCAAATGATGGTTACATTAATCATCATTAAAAAAAAAGGGGTATGAAAGTAAACGCAAGTAAGACGAATGTTATGGTTTTTGAAAGAGAAGAAAGTAAAACGATTTGTGAAATAAGAATAGAAGGGGAGTTGATCGAGCAAGTAGATGAGTTTGTATATTTAGGCTCCGTATTTAGCAGGGATGGGAGATATGATAAGGATATAGAACGACGAGTGAATGCGGGAAATAGAGTAAATGGGGCCCTGCACTCTATTGTGAAGAGTCAAAATGTGTAGAAAAAGGCACGTATGGCAATTCACAATGCTGTGTTGGTCCCTACTTTAACGTATGGTAGTGAAAGTTGGGTGTGGCAGAAGAAGCACGAGAGTAGAATGAACGCAGTAGAAATGCGGTCGTTAAGGATTATTTTAGGGCTGAATCTGAATGACACGGTAAGAAATTGCGTAATAAGAGAAGAGTGTGGTTTGCAGGATGATGTTGTGACCAGGATTAAGAAAGGAATGCTTCGGTGGTTTGGTCATGTGTAAAGAATGAATGAGGAAAGAGTGACAAAGAAAATTTATGTTGCAGAAGTGAATGGCAGAGTCGGAAAAGGACGTCCTAGGCGAAAATTTATCGACCAAATTGGCGATTTATTGAAAACGGGCCAAATTAGGAGTACCCTTAACCGACGAGCATGTATGCGTAGGTGTATGGATGTGAAGGAGGCGAGAGAGGTGTGTCAGGATCGTGCGAAATGGAAGTCTGTAGTCTCTGCCTACCCCTCTGGGTGACAGGCCTGAGTGTTTATGTATGTATGTAATTATACTATTTGGGTACGTGACTCCACATCTCAATATCTGTGCATCCGTGTGTAGGTTAGGTTAGATTAGGTCTCATATCGGCTGTGGTAATTTCGATGATTTGATAAGACGTTCAGTGGTAGGGCAGGAGTAAAGAAATTCTCTCATCTCTCTTTTTGAAATAATAAATTATCTAGTTTATTATTTCAAAAAGAGAGATGAGAGAACGCGAGTAATACATGGGGAGGGGTGTTGCAGGAGTGGAGACGCGCGGTGTCGTCGTACACCGGGGGCGCGGCGGGCGTGGGGGGCGCGCGGGTGGTGGGCAGCGCGTGCGTAGCGGCGGGCGCGGTGCGGCTGGCCAGCGTGAGCTGCGCGTGCGCTGCGGCGCGTCTTTGTGCCGCGCTGCCTGCGCTCACCGATACCGTCAACGTCTGCCAGGAGGTACGCACACTGGGGGTGCGCGTGCGAGCAGCGCGTGCGTGGCGGCGGGTAGTTCAATTTGTCAGTTATAATGATCCTTTAGCGAGTATTTTATATATAGCATTGACTACAAGGCCTTCTTCCAAAAAGATATACACTTTAAAAAAATTAATTTGACAAATTTTCAAAATATCTTAATGTGTCATGATGACTACAGCATCTAATATAATAATAATAATAATGTCCTCCAGACCGAATTTTGGCCACGGCGGCCTGCTTCAACGGAGACTAGCCATCGGCGCAGGACAGGATTATAGTGCCCAAGTGTATGCGCAAGCACAGGTGCACTCTCTATTCCCTCACTCTCATAATGCGATGGGACGGTAAACCGACACGACCGGAGAAAGATCAGGTGCAGGACCAACGGCTTTACGTGCTTTCCGAGGCACGAGGGTGAGACACCGCCTACTTCCTGACTTCGGGCAACTACTGAGAATTTCTTGACGGAAAAACTCAACAATTAGTTTTTTGGCCCGACCCGGGATTCGAACCCAGGACCTCATGATCAGCAGTCGCACTACTACAACCACTAGATCAACGTGGCAGTCATATTTATTTTTAGCATTATTTATTAGTTATTAGTTAGCATCTAATATAGTAAGATAATGTATGGTTCCACCACACATTTTTATTTAGCAAACTCTGCAACCTGCTTTTAGCCGCGCATCACCTGTATTTAATTTTACTCATTTTATTGCAGTTTTACAATCGGCAGTACGTCAACAACTTTATTACGATTACACACTCACTCAAGAAAAGACTTGCCATAACTAAACTGGGTGTAAAACTTATATTATATTAGTTATACAATTTTATCTACATTTTATGGCTGCGTGCTCAAAATACGAGTACTACATCCAACTCAAAACTGCAACTATACAACATCTTCAAATGTATGACCAAACTGGACTGTACATTTAATGGTCCTTCGAGCCGAATAATTAAATATAATATAGTAGAAAGACGATGATGATAGTACCCCAAGCTCTCATGACGCCTCATAACTGTCTTATTTTTTGGTTTATACATTAGAATATATAGTAAAATAGTTTAAAAAAAGCCGTTTCATACAGAAAATAGCATCACATTTATGTATCAAAATCTACTCCAAATGATTTAATCAATACTTTATCGTCGAATAACAATCTTAAGGCGATTAAGTTTTCACAAAAATATATTATAACTTAACAATGTTACAGGAAGTCTTGGAGCATGGTGATGTTAAAATAATGGAGGAGCAGTTAGCGAATGCTATTGAAAGTATTGTTGTAAGTATCATTGTTGTTATATGATTTATCATTATTGTTTGAAGAGCCGTAGTTGCTAAGAGATAAGTGTATATGTAATAGAAAAACAAATACCTACCTTCAGCAGGTTATTAAATAAAATAGTCGTATAAAGTATTACATCAGAAAAAGTTAAGACAAAAGAAACCGCTATGCTGCTTATTCGCGGAAGCTTATTAATGTCCTGGATTTTTATTTATAAACGTTAAGCATATTTGCGTATAGCTACAAAATATATTTTTTATTTTTGTTTTAGAATTGTCCGTCATGCGCGTTGGGTACAAATGCGATAGTTTGGAGCACTGACGTCTAAAAGGCATTTGTGCGAATTGTAAGTATTATTTCGAAATACTAAGATAGAGTGTAAAAATTAATTCTTCATCTTCGTCAACGAGGAAGGCAGCTGGGCCTCTCACATGGTGGTAAAGACTGTACAGATGCTTAGTCACCTTTGACGCCTTCTGTCACTAGTGTGGATACATATTACATTAGATCTGTCAAAAATTTTGAATGATCATTTGGAGATATCCTCAACATTTTTTTCGGCTTAATAGCCGTCACCGTTACAGTCTATTAAATCCACTGCTGTACATGGGCTTCCCCAATAGACTGCCTCATTAGAAAATATTTGCCATAATTGGCAAGCTTGGCAAGCGAGCTGGCAACTGTAGTTTTTTAGTTTAAGTCGTTATTTATAATAGATGCTGCTACACATCCCCCGATTTGTTTCCCTTTGTCTCTTACGACACCCACGGGATGATAAGGAAGTAGATGTTCTTACATCTCCCGATGAGGCGATCCATATGTTCAGAATTGGACTTTTATAGGCTTTAGGTAGGTAGAACCACGCAGCATCTATATTATGGCTGCCGTATGAATGGGTTAGTCCGACCTCGAAAGGACCCCGCGCTCACTAAATTATTTTTTATAAGAGAAGAGTGATAAACGAGCACACACTCCACCTGATGTTAAGTGGTTGCTGTAGCCCATAGACATATACATATATCCCTGATTACGAATCAAAATGCAGATGCGTTGTCACCCGTGAGAACTAAGATAGAATGCCTTATTACCAATAAAAAGGGTCTCCGGATCTCTACACTTACCATACGAGACACAGCATCGTTAAGCTGCTATTTTACGCTGGTGTTCTGTGAGAGCGTGGTCCTTCCCCGATCGAGCCGACCTATTGGTGCTACAACTATATTACTAATATAGCTGCAACATGGCTCCACCACGTAAAAGAGACGATACGAGTATAATGGTGCTATTTTTCGTGTGATGAGTGACCCTAAACCGCAGACTCCTTTTACTAGTAACTAGACATTTTTCATGTGAAATAATACTAGTTTTTACGGAATTTATCGCGTATATTTAACTTTTTAATTACCCGACGTTTCGAGAGCTTTACAGCACCCATGGTCACGGGAAGGACTGAGATGTTCAACGTCCAGCTGTCATAGTTAACCGCGGTTACCATAGATTAAAATTTAACTGACAGACTGCAGACTTTCACAGACTGCAGACTTGAACATGTACAGGATCGCCCCCGTCACTACATCAGATTTGATAGACCACAAATCCTCGCTAAAGAACACTGATTCCTTCCAAGGATGATTCGCGAGGCTATTGAAATCAAAAAACATCCTAATTTCAATAGAGAAGATGGCTGGGTGCTACCATCTGCTTGGGATCCTATAATAAATAAAATTAAATCCCAACCCAAGCATACAACTGCAAGACTCCATGATACCTTAAGTTCATACTGTGTAGATCGGAACAAAAGTTAAATTTTAATCTATGGTAACCGCGGTTAACTATGACAGCTGGACGTTGAACATCTCAGTCCTTCCCGTGACCATGGGTGCTGTAAAGCTCTCGAAACGTCGGGTATTTAAAAAAGTTAAATATACGCGATAAATTCCGTAAAAACTAGTATTATTTCAATGTGTAGTGTTCGCGTAAATATAAGAAATCATTATTTTTCATGTATTTTATATGTAGTAGAGCCACGCTGCTTCTATATTATGGTTGTAGCACGAATAGGTCGGCTCGACCTGTGCAGGACCATGCTCTCACAGAATACTAGCATAAAATTGTAGCTCACTGCTGTTGTGTTTCGTATGGTGAGTGTGGAGAACCAAAGATCTTTTGCACTGGATCGATAGCATTCCTTCTTAGTCCTCAGAGGTGAAAACATATCTGCGTTTGGATCCCTTAATCGAGGATAGATGTAGATGTCTATGAGCCACTGTTCACTTACCTTCAGGTGGGCTGTGTGCTCGCTTGTAACCCTTATACAATAAAAAAGAGCCTGGCTACAGTTATATTATGGTTGCAGCAGAAATGGGTTGGCTCGACCGGAGAATCAACACGCTCTCATAAATTACCGGCCTAACGCTATTCTTTCGTATTGCGAGTGTAGAGAACCGGAGACTGTTTTTACTTGAATCTTAGTTCTCAGGGGTGACAACGAATCTAAATTGATCTAGAATAGATGTAGGTGACTACGTGCCATAGCATCCACTTAGCATCAGGTGAAATGTGTGCTCGTTTGTTACCCTTATTCTATAAAAAGAGTCCTATCTTAGGTGTTCACCTAGGAGCGACAACGTACTGGATTTGAATTCATAATTGTGGATCGATGTAGGTGTCTATGTGTCTCAGGATCCACTTACCGTCAGGTACATTGGGTGTTCGAGTTAGTTTTATGAAAAAAAAAGTCTTTATAACATTTTCTTTTTTCCAGGTGTTTACCTCCACCGACCTCAATCTGGTGCCTTCATAGTATATAGCCAGTTATAAGCGATATGTATATACTTTGTATCATACTAAGATAGCTATTTACATCATATCGGATAATTATATCGAATAATTTAATATGTAAGCGATACATATCGAACAAATCGTACCTTTATATCGATTCTAAGTTTACGAATAAAACGTTTTTTCGGACGTAATTTTATTTTATTTTATAATTTAACTTTCCGTGCCAATCGTGTTTTAACGTAGTGTTTCTGTAAATAATAACCTTTAGTTATTTTCGTAATCTACGAAGCTGTTTATTAATTATTTTTAATGCCGAATCGAAAACGATTGTAGTTTTTTCAGTTTATGTCTATTTCGTGTATTAAAAAAATGTTTTTAATGACGAAAAGATGAATGTCATTGATGAATTAAATGATTATTTAAAATATATGTTTCTTTGAATTTTCAATTTTCTTTTGCCTTTTTCCCTGTCCCGTGTAGTTAAAGCTTTTTTGTATGCTTATCTTAAATTTTGTGTATATATTGTGTATTTAGTGTATAAACTTATTACTATTATTGCTCATTAACCAAGTTAGATTTCATTTCAATTTCATTAAAATATTTGTGTGTAATAATGAATGAGTGACATGAGTAATGTAAAAAAATAAAGATTTAAAAAAAATGTAAAAAATAATTAGTTAAGACCCGCTTATAACATGTATGTAACCTGCGTGTAACCTGGTGTGTCTTACATATTTCTTTCCACAAAGTAACCTCTGATTCTATTTATTACCATTAAATAAACAATTACATATATCCCACACCTAGGCAGAGGCTTTTTCTCATTTCTGAGGGGGTTCTTCGGGCAGAAAGAGTGAGAGTTGGATGTTATCTCATGGCCTTGTTTTTTTCTAAGACATGCAAGTTTTCAACAAATTTCGATAAGGAAAACATCATGAATGCTTTCTTAATCGCCGAGCGACTGATAAATCAGCGCTTAATGCAATGAACAATTCATTGGATCAAATTATGTTTGTCTACTGTAAAATGGATTGTAAACGGGATATAAAAATTGCATCTTGCCGGAAATCTTGCTGAGACCTACAGCGTGCAATATTGCCATTGACACTTTTGCTATAATATTATTGTGCATTATATGTATAAACACTCACGCTGGTCACCCAGAGTGGTAGGCAGAGACTACAGACTTGCATTTTTCACGACCCTGACATACCTCTCACATGCTCTTCGGCTAAGGGGGTACGGCCTGCCTCAACGGAGGCTAGCCATCCGTGCAGGACAGGATTATAGTGCCCAAGTGTATGCGCAAGCACAGGTGCACTCTCTATTCCCTCACTGCCATAACCTGATGGGACGGTAAACTGACACGACCGGAGAGAAATCAGGAGCAGGACCAACAGCTTTACGTGCTTTCCGAGGCACGGGGGTGAGACACTGCCAACTTCCTAACTCCGGGCAGCTACTGAGAATTTCTTGACAGGAAAAATCTATAATTGATTTTTTGATCCGACCCGGGATTCTAACCCAGGACCTCATGATCAGTTGTCGAACTACTACATCCTCTAGACCAACGAGGCAGTCAATATGTGTATGTGTGTGTGTATGTGTATGTGTATGTGTATGTGTGCGTGTGTGTGTGTGTGTGTGTGTGTGTGTATGTGTATGTGTGTGTATCTGTGTGTGTATGGGTGTATATGTATGTGTGTGTGTGCATGTGTGTATATGTGTGCATATGTGTGTATATGTGTGTGTATGTGTGTGTATGGTGTGCGTATGTGTATGTGTGTATGTGTGTGTATGTGTATGTACGTGAGTGTATGTATGTGTGTGTGTGTGTGTATGTGTGTACATGTGAGTGTATGTGGTGTATGCGTGTGTGTATGTGTGTGTATGGGTGTGTATGTGTGTGTGTGCATGTGTGTATGTATGTGTGTATATGTGTGTGTATGTGTGTGTATATGTGTGTATGTGTGTGTATGTGTGTATGTATGTGTGTATATGTGTGTGTATGTGTGTGTATGTGTATGTACGTGAGTGTATGTGTGTGTGTATGTGTGTATATGTGTATATGTGAAGTGTATGTGTGTATGTGTGTATGTGTGTGTATGCGTGTGTGTCTGTGTGTGTCTGTGTGTGTCTATGTGTCGTCTGTGTGTGTATGTGTGTGTCTGTATGTGTCTGTGTGTGTATATGTGTGTCTGTGTGTTTCTGTGTGTGTGTGTGTGTGTGTGTGTGTGTGTGTGTGTGTGCGTGCGTGCGTAAGCGTGCGTGTGCGTGCTTGTGTGTTGTGTGCGTGTGTGTGTGTGTGTGTGTGTGTGTGTGTGTGTGTGTGTGTGTGTGTGTGTGCGTGCGTGCGTGCGTAAGCGTGCGTGTGCGTGCGTGCGTGTGTGTGCTTGTGTGTGTGTGTGTGTGTGTGTGTGTGTGTGTGTGTGTGTGTGTGTGTGCGGAAAACGTGCGTGCGTGTGCGTGCGTTTGCGTGCGTGCGTGCGTGCGTGCGTGTGCGTGCTTGGGGGGCGTGCGTGTGTGTGCGTGCGTGCGCGCGCGTACGGTGTGTATGTGTGTGTGTGTGACAGTGATGTATAACACTGCACTACGTTATGCGGTGCTAACTTGACGAATATGCAATTGCAATTAGAAATTGCCTCAAAACTAGCCAATTTTTTATAAAACTGAAATGGCAATCGAAATTCAGTCCACTTAATGGTGAATGGCTACTGCAATCTATTGGACACCTGCAGTCATCTTTAAACAAATAAGGCTACAAACGCGTTATCACCTCTGAGCACTGAGATGGAATGCTTCACAGCCTGCAGTTATACTGGCTCTCTATACCCTTCAGACTGGAATACAATGGCAGAAATAGGTCTGTGTAGTGGTACCAAATCAACTGACTTCTGGTTATAAAATGAGTTATTCCACCTGGTACAAATGCGTACAGGCGCTGATCTCTTTAAATACCATGCTATGTAGGTATTACAGGTATTATTCACCAAAACGCACTAATGACAAGACGTGCGGGAAGTCAGTGAAAGAAGGTGGCTCTGGTCCGTGCTTTGTGGCATTACTTCTGGGAGTCTTGTTCAGTTGTGCACTTGTTAAGTAAGGGCTGTATAGATGATAATTACCTGGGAACTAGTATCACTACTACACTTCTGCCGCTTCTCAGAGGAATCCGAGCATGTGCATTACTCTATAACAGCATGCTTTGTATTTCCTTCTACACCCATCGCTTCCTACAGTGTTGAGCAGCAGAACTGGACAATATGTATACTTCGAGTGTATTTTAGCGATGTAAAGAATTCACAAAATAGCAAATGCACAAATGCTACTAAACTAACTGCAGCACATCACTTTACTTGCAGTCTTTTTTGTTTCGCTACCCTTAAAATATACTGTGAGAATACCTTTTTGTAACTCATAAATTGGATCAAAACACTCGACCCCTCGATATAGAAGTTTAAAAAAGAACTAAAAAATGTCACGACATCTTTATTTTGACATGTTGTAAAATGTCACCCAAAAATTTGCGTTTCAGTTAAATTTCGTAAGAAATTTATAGAATGTTAGAAAGGAAGTTTTAAATCCCAAATTTCTCCGACAGGTAATGTACTGCGGCTATGATACAGGAACCTGCACACCAGGTAAACGAATTGAACATAACGCGACGAAGAAAAACTACCATAAAAATTGTATCCCAAAATATGACTAAAAATGAGTATGAATGAAATAAAAAATTTAAAATCTGAAATTTTATTTGGCTCCTCGCACTGCTCATGTATCAGCTGTGATAGCTTCCGTTGTTTTGCAAAAAGAAAAGTAAAAGTGAAGACATGTTCCTGTTCTGTATGCAAAGACTCAACTGCTTGCTTGTATTATTCAAAAGAAGAGTTTTTCCAAAAAGAAAATCAGTATACTACTCCAAGTAAAACATCAACTGTAAAATACACAGTAAACAAAGTATTTTATCCAAAACGAAAATCAAACTATGACAAATCGAAACAAGATAATCTTAAAAATGATATATCACAGAATAGAAATGTCAATTTTTCGCATGAACATTTATTAAACAAGGCACCTGATAAAATATCGATACAAAATATTTTTGGCAGAATCAAACAAATATATAGTGCATGTAGTTGTAAAGTGTGCGAATGTGTTGCTACAAAGGCAGGAAGTACTGTTTGCAGATGCAAACCTTGCGAGTGCAATAATTGCAAATGTTTAATGAATAAAACGGATGGTCGAAAGAAACCAACAATACAGAATAGCAGTCCATATGCTGTACATAATAATATTTTAAACGAAACAACAGTCGACGATATGCAAATAAAATATAAACTACATACATCTTATAAAAAGTATGAAAACGCTATTGAAGGATCTTCAACACCAAAATATAATAATTGCAAATGTAAACCTTGTGATTGCGATGATTGTAAAATTCTTACAGTGAAGATTAATGATGGTAGAAATTCATTAATTATCAAGAATGCAATATATAACGAATCACAGGAAAGCAAACCAAGTAAAAGTATTGCAAAAACTAGATCAAAAAGTTGTGACTGTAAACCCTGTCAATGCGACAAGTGTAAACCTAAATATAGAATTTCAAACACCTTTGTTGTAGCTTCTATGGAAGATAACTTACAACGCAATGCTTGCTCATGCGCGCCTTGCGAATGCAGTAGTTGTCGACAAGCTAGCACTGCTAATACAACTAGTTTGATGAGAGAAATCTCCACTGCAATGACTGAAACTTGCAATAATAATTGTCAGTGTGAACCATGTTTTAACGAAACATGTCGAGAAACATTAGGATCTTGTCAATGCGCTAGTCGAAATAGTGTCATGAATAAGCCCTTTGTAAAAGATACCCAAAATATTGATATTCATAGAGCTTTAGTTTTGGAAGAGAATTCAAACGATGAAAATAATGGCCCGAATTACACCATATCTGTTCTTACGGATGTTCTTAATACTTATCAAGAAAAAGAAACAGAAAGAAAAAAATGTGACTGTAAAAAACTTGATTGTGCAATTTGCAGTAGTAATATCAATATGATAAATAGTACTGGCTCTCTTACGTCGCCCTTTCATAATGTTCATAACTTATCTACATTACGGGTAGATGCAGCACAACCCAAAGAGTGTAAATGTATATCATGTGAATGTCAAATCTGTGATAAATATAAGAGATTTGGACATGGCGTTTGGAAATCTGATAAATATAGATCTAAATGTGACTGTGATATCTGCCGTTGCCTGTATTGCGGTGATTTATTGAAATCTGAAAGTACCACAGAAATGAAATATGATAATGTAAATAATAAATCGACTTTACACAAGAGACGACCAATCAACTTGCTGTTTCCAAAGATTCAATGTCGAAATGAACTTACCACTAAAAACAATAATTTAAATAAAATTATCTACAAGAATTTAAACAATAACAAATTATATTATGATGAAAACATTAAGTCAAGTTCAAGCGTTTATTCTATTCTTCCCGCTAAAGAAAATAGCTATCTACTACAATCACGAAATATTAATTCGCGTACATCATCAGTTATTCACAAAAATAACAGTTATCATTCTATCATTGACAATAATGTTGTGACTACTTTTCTTAACGACATTATGCAAAATGATGAATTAAATGTATTTCATTTTGGTACCGAAGTAAAAGAAATCACTAAAAATTCAGTGTCTAGCGCGTGGAGTTTTCCAGAAACACCCAAGAACCCATCACAATTATGTTTTGAAAATATCATCTGTAATGAAGGGGAAAAACACAATTTAAAAAAGTTTACTCCTGAACTTCAAATATTTAGTAGTAAACAATGCATATACTGCACAATGAGTCCTAGTACAAGGGCCAAAAATCTGGAATATGATAAAGGTAATCAAATAATACCACAATGTTTCGTCCAAACTAATCTCGTATCGATTAATTCTCGAAATAATAAGAGTGAAATAAATAACAATATTGACACTAAATGCAAAGATATTCATAATGAAAATGAACTAGAGTTAAGCGCAAAGATTGTTAATAATAAAGCGGAATTATTGTACTGGAAAACGCCAACAGATCTTTATGCATTGAACAAAAAATTATTAAAACGCTTCAACAAAGATCTTGAAGAGCGAAATATACTTTTTAAGGCAAAGTTATTAACATCTGAACTTTTAAAAATTTTATTCAAATATCAAAAAGCGAATAAAGAATTCGAAAGCCACATACAACGTTAAGATACTCTAAGTCATTAAAATTTACGAAAGAATATTGATTCTATTAAACACAACCATTTAGAATATCATCAACAAAATGTCTCTTTCACACTTTAATTCATCGTGTCGTAGCTTAAAGCATTAACTGTGAAAAGTGTAAAACTGCAAATTATTCAAGTTATTGTATTTTAATGAAGCTATTCATGCCAACATTGTCAAAGATTTAAAGTCAGTGAGGAAACAATTAATAGTTAGTGTAGAATAAATATTTTAAACAATTTTTAAAATGTACACGATATATTGAAACGTAAAGTCAAAAAGGTCTTGTTTTAATGGAAGTCAATCGCCACAAATATGTTAGATTTTAAATACTTATGACTTTACGCCGCAATAAATAAAAGGTCTTTAAAAAAATAAGGGTGACGACGAGCCCACAGTTTTCTTGATAGTAAATGGATGTTGTAGCCCAACATCCCGTCACCATAAGATGGTAGTCATTATATAATATTGTGTAAAATCGAATCACCGGAGAAATTAAAACGATTGTTGGATCACAATCAATTGATTATCGGGGTGTAATCGGTTTAATTAAATTATTTATTTATTGATTCATAACTGTAGAAAAGAAGTGGCGGTGTAAGAATATTTACTATCCCTTATCGTCCCGTGGATATCATAAGAGGTGATAGTGGGAAACTAACCAGGTGATTGGCGGCAGCGTCTTCCTAATAATAAATAAAAATTAAGAACTACGGTTGCCAACACGCCTGCCAAATGTGGCAGCTGTGGCAGAGATTCCCACTATGAGGCAATCCATGGGGGAGGCCTATGTTTGGCAGTGGACTTTGATAGGCTGTAACGGTAACTGTTGAATATCAGACGTCACTTGTGCAGGTGGAATTCTTGAATAACTTCAATATTATGTAGATTGTATTGTGTAATTTAATAGGTACTGCTAAAAAAATTTGAGGTAGCCGATATGTGTGCGTTCGCGACTAGGTGTCAAGTTACTTAAGGGGAAATATAACCTCAAATGGCTTAGCAATATCCTCCGTTATGCCGAAAATATTGCAGCATTAATTTTGAAATAAATATATGGTAAAGTTGAGGATTAATGTTAAGGACTATGTTAGACGAAAACACGATTCCGTAAAATTTTCTCGATAGAAAAAAAAATCCAAAGTTACCTCCAAAATAAACAATAAACCGCTGTTATTCATAAAATACTTTAAATAATATCATGAAACTTTGCATACTAACTGAACTAACTATAAAGCAGTGCTTATGTTATTTACTTTTTTTTAAATACCATTATTTTCACTGTAAAAAGAAATTACCTAAACTATCGGCCTCTTGAAGCGTGATTCCTGCCGCCCGGTCAGTTTCGCTTCGGCCTTTGAAGGGGGAGGTTGTGTCGCTTTCGATCAGAATACACATTACGCAACAGGACGACGTAAAATTAAAATGGGAAATAACCGTAATAAAAATAAGAAGCGACTGGCTTGGCGTTAAGAAACAGGCATAAATATGATAAACCTAATAAAATAAGTGTCTAACGACCTATCTACTTACAGTATTAGTGATTACAAACATAGCGGGGACTACATACCCCTTCTAACCTCCACTATGTGACGTCAGAAACAGTAACAAAGTTTAGGTAACTTTTAACAACATAACTCTTTAGAGACTGTTTCCAAAAGTTCGTTTTGTTTTTTCTTTATTATATATGTTTGGATCACATCACACCGGAGAACACAAAAAGAGAAATGGGTCATATCGTAAAATATTATTTAAACACGATTGTCGTTACAACAACAAAAAAATTGTTTGTTAATTATTATAATTCCTCCATATTCCTTTACATTCCTTTTGTATAATGTGAGAAGATAAATTTAACGCGAGAAAATAAATTTAACGCGAGAAAATTTTTACTCCATGCTTTACCATGATTATCAAACTTGCCATGGATTACAACAGATTTTAGCAAATTCATTCATGATTTGTATTTAAGAGGGTATATATGTATGATTCGCGTTGAAAACTTCATGTTTTAGGGCTTTTTCAACGGTGATATCGTAACGATGTGAGCAGATTATTTGCAGAAAATGACTGCTTTAGAAAGAAGAAGTCTTTATTTAGTGCAATACAACGCAAAATCATATCGTAATCATTCATAGCATTTTACGAAAATATGCGTCAGAACTATCCTTCTGATCGAATACATTTATTATTATAAGCTAAAATACTTTATTTTAACCGTTATTATAATCTTTATATATATAAATTACGTGTCACGCTGTTTGTCCGCGATGGACTCCTCAACTACTTAACCGATTTTGATCAAATTTACACACCGTGGGTAGTTTGGTCCAACTTGAGAGATAGGATAGTTTTTTGCCCACATTGCCACAATTTTTTTGCGAATTTAAGGATTTTTAATAGGACATGACAAAGGGTCATCGAAAAGGGCAGAACAAAGTCTGCCTGGCAAGCTAGTGGAATATATAGTCTTTTAATGCAACACAAAGCTTAAATTACGTAAATATTTCTATTCAATACTACAAAATCACCAAAACTGCCAAGTTCAGTGTCGTTTTTTTCTGTGTATTTGGATTGAAACTTATCTATTTTAATTATTTTGTCAAAATACAGGTTATGTTTAATATCAAAAAGTTTTAGCTCGTTTTATTCAGTCAATTATTTTATATGCTTAATTTAAAAATACTATAAATCATCAATTCATCACTCTCAGACGCCAACCTATTCTAACGCTCTGGGCCTAGTATATATTCAGTAATCTATGCTCCGGGCCTTCCCGACGATAGGACGTACTATCACTTTTTCTCACCGACGCGACGCCGCGCGATCGCGTTGATACACCGATAGCGCTATACTATAACTAGCTGCCCTATAGCGCCATCGAGCATTTTAGACCATTGAGACTTTTAAGTGATATTGTTGATAGTAAGTAAACAGTTCATAAAGTTTTAGGAATGCAATTTTTACTGAATAAATCTCGGAAAGCCTCAAACATTTGTTCCATATTCTTTTGTTTTAAAGAATATACCGAAGCATACTTTGGAAATAACTGCCAATATATATTTTGTAATTAGAATTTTCTTTAGAAACAGATTGCCTGTCAATTAGATCAGCTTGCCATAAATCGTCAATGTTTTTCATCAGAACATGTCTCCGCGGAAAGTTTTTTCCCCGCTTGTTTATGTATTTCTTTCACCACTACATATTTCTTTACTCTGTTGTCCTTCTTTTCTGTGTCACTGACTCAATACTTTTTTTAATACTATTTATTTCTGTTCCAATTAATGTCAGAGTTTGATTTAATGATTTTTGTTTATTTTCTAAGTTTTCTATGTTCTTATCAACATAGTTCTTGGTCACACAATCTCCAGGATCTACTGGATTTCCAATGTTTTTAACGGTATTATTTTTAACGTTTAAAGATCCATCAGTCATACTAGCAACCGGAGATTCTGAGTTAGTCCAAACTTATCGATGTTCATGGTTGACTCGCCAACTGACTTACCAAAAAGTCACCTCATCATCATCATTACAGCCCTTCACGAGTCCACTGCTGAACATAGGCCTCCTCCAAGGTATGCCACAAAGCACGGTCGTGAGCCACCTGCATCCATCGACTTCCTGAATGTCTTACCAGGTCGTCACTCCATCTAGTGGGGAGTCGCCCTACACTTCGCCTACCGGTACGAGGCTGCCTCTTGAGAACCTTTTTTCCCCAACAGTTGTCGGTTCTTCGAGCTATATGGCCGGCCCATTGCCACTTCAGCTTAATCATCAAAAAAGGAAAACCTCTTCGACAATCCCTAATGGCCAATGGAGAGGCAGCGTATTCTCTTTGGTGAGCACAACCACAGTTCCGACAGTTAAAGGTTCAGTTGCTGTGTTCCATTTTTGCCGAGACTGCATAGTATGCAAGTATTCCATCCTCCATCGTTTCCAAAACGATTGCACCAACCGGTCTAATAATGTATGGCGTGCGGAAATGCTAAGTTTGTTCTCGTCCATATCTACGGCGGGTAAATACTTCAAAGGCGTTAAATAAAAAAATGTGCTGGAGTTAGAGCCAGCAGCTCGGAGGGGTCATTTGACAACGTACGACAAAGTGGGCGACTATTCATGACGCACTCAATTTGAGCGAGCACAGTACTTAACTCTTCGAAGGACAAAATTTGATCTCCTATTACTCGGTATAAGTGACTCTTTAGACTCTTAATATTAGTCTCCCAATTGCCCCAAAATGACTCGCGGCTGGGACGTTCAGAGACCACTCGATACGGTTCTCGGCTAGAATGTGAGCGAACCCCGAATTATAATACTTGCTGGCTAAGAGTTCATGTAGTTCTGATAAAATACGTTTCGCACCGACGTAGTTCGTACCGTTATCCGAATACAATTTACTTACAGGACCACGGCGGGAAAAAATCTTTTAAATGCACCCATAAAGCCCGATGTGCTTAGATCACCAACGAGTTCTATATGCACCGCCCGAGTAGTTAGACATACGAAAATGCAGACGTAAGCCTTTGTGGATCTTATACCACGCCCGAGAGTGAGCGTGACCTTAAACGGACCAGCAAAATCAGACCCGGTGTGCATAAAGGGCTTTAAGGATTGTGTTACTCGACAAGACCTAAGATCCGCCATTTCCGGAAATGACGACTTAGGACGTACTCGAAAGCAAGCTATACGTCTGTGCACCCGATTGCGGATTAAATTACGTGCTGCAAGAATCCAATAATTCTGACGCAAGATTGACATCAGCAAATCGGGGCCAGCGTGAGAATTCAATTTATGATGGTAATCAACTAATAAATTAATGATATGGTCTTTATGCGGTAAAACTATAGGGTGCCGTTGGTCGAAACTCAACTGCGAGTTGGACAAGCGTCCGCCTACCCTGACGATTCCATCTTGTAAAAATGGCTTAAGGCGTTGAAAGGCGCGACTACAAGTTCTATTCGATTGTAATCTTGTAATTTCCT